GGTGTCCGTAATAACTCGATGATCACATAAATAATGTCTTTCCTTAACAGTATAGGAGGCTTCTAGAAGAATAGTTATTATTGCAAAATTATTGAACCATGCATGACGATGAGCTGAAACTACGATTTGTTTGATCCCGAAAACAGCTCACAAGGTTCACAGATTTTTTTATTCAATATTTGCTTCAACTAATTAAAGCATGTCAGATTTCACGATAAGATAGTGTTGATAAGTTCATGTTAATTGAACCTGTTTTTCTCGGTTAGGTTTACATAATGACTAGGAGAAAAGTCAACCTTTTAAGGGATGATAAAGCATAATTAGATCTGATCACGGACTCAGCGTTACAAAATTGAAGCCAATAGTGCATTAGTACAACTCTACAACACTAGCCTGTGACAAGTAGAAATACTTATACAAGATATATCCATGATCCCATGTGAAAGGCAAACTTATATATAGCTGGCACGATTTGGTCATTGTCATTTTCTTTTTTCAAATTAATGCTACAAAAGCTAGAGACGCGCTGAATTAATTGCTGAATAAAAGATTAGACTCATACCTAAATGTGACTGATTTTCATCATATTGAAAATTACATGAACAATAAACCCATCTTTAGTTAATTATGTCAAAGAACAATAAAATGGAGAAAGGGAATTAGAGAAGCAAGGCAATCCCATTAGTTATTTGGGATTAATGCAAGTCCATCGACTTTGTCCTATACACATGCAGAAGGAGACAAACCAGCGATCGGAGGTCCTTTCTGCGAGACGAAATTGTGCGATACCTCAGCTCAATTTCCATCTTGCAGAATGCAGACCTTACGAAGTTATCATGCATGTACTAGTACAATATGCAAATAACAGAAAAAAAAAAAACAAAAGTATTTAAAGGAAATAAAAGGGATAAGTGGGGATGAACAAACTTTCTTGATTTATTTTCTTGGCCTTCTTGGCTTATTTTAGCTTACTTGCAAATGTGTTAGTAAATGATTAATATGAGTTTTTTTAAGACTTTTTGTTCCCTCATAGCTGTCACCAGGACCAACCAAAAATAATTGATCAGTTTTGACCTCGAATTTCACCTCTGAGATAAGGTACTATTCAATTATAAGGTCAATTAGGAACATCAGTAATGCATCAATAATTGATCAGTATAGCCATGTTAGCGTCGAGCGAGACATTTCAAGATCTTACGATCCCTTTTTTATTGTTACAAGAAGCGTAATTTGGGATCAGTTTTCATGTTAACCAAGACTGTTTCTTCTCAATAAAATATAAAACGTATCACCATATTTACCTTGAGTTTTTTTAGTAAAATATAAAACATCTGAGTGGCAAGCAACCATAATTTTCACACACAAGAATGGTAATAATACACATTTTTAAATGTACTTTTTATACATGTTGCTATACATTGTGTAAAATTGAAAGGTATTTAATTTAGACTTTTTACACCAATTAATTTACATACGTCTAGCTCAATATTAACGTATCTTTTCATAGTGTAAACATAAAATATGATTTTATTAACCTCGATTTTTAAGGTTAGATTTAAGCATTTTAAATACAAAGTTTTTACGAAAAAATACATATTTATTTCGTTAATATATTTTTCTTTTAACAAAATTTCATGATTATTAATTATTTGTTCTCAATTTTAAGGCTGATGGTTTTTTAACTATATATTATATAAAGTTCAATGGTACGTATTTAGACTTTTTCACATATTAATTTACCCTCATGTACCTCAATAATAAACTCATATAATCCCGTAATAAAGAGTAATCAATATCATTATTGGGTCGTGGCTATTGCATATCACTGGATTAAACAGAGCATCATGCGGTAAGGTTGAAACAACTGAGGAAAACTGACAAAGATGGGCTGCCAAAGAGAATGAGTAGAAACCATTATTCATGGAATTGACAAACTAATTTCTCCAAATGAAGAGGATATTGGAAGTTTTCTAAGTAATGTTGCTAAAAAAACAGATGACTCCTAAAGGAGAAAGAGTGCTACAAATGACAACAAATTAAGATGCGGGAGTGATCAGAGAAACTATATATCGGAAGATTGGGTAAAGCTAATAAAAGGGCAATGCTATATTACTTAGACGTACGTATTTACCACATGCTGTAGTGGGATGCGTTTTTGCTAAGTAATTAGAGGCGATTGAATTTTATAATGAAAGCATTTAAGGGTCATCCCTAAGTTCTGATGAAAGATTATATATAGACCTTTGTCTTTCTAATGAAAGATCTCCTAAAGGTGATGAAAGCATTCAAGGGTCATCTCTAAGTTCAGATAGACCTGTATACCATATTTAGATTCTAAAAGTTTGATAGGTTATTAGTTATAATTTTTATATTGAATTTATATTTATTATATTTTTAATGTATTTTTAAACACACACTTACGCTTATGATTAGATTATTTTCGCAAACACAGGAAGGCATGATCAAAGTTTTTTTTTTTTCTTTTGAAGGGTTTTAACGAAAAAATTATGATTAGATAAAATTTAAATGTAATTTTAAAAATATATTTAGCATTATATATTAATTAAAATTAAAATTTTACTTTAGTGAGTTTTTATAACATTAAATGTAAATTATTTAATTGAAATAAAACTCTTATTTTAATTAAGAAATATCATAAAAAAATACTTGAGGAATTAGGTTTAAATTTTATATCTCCTAACATTCTCATGCAGCTAACTTTAATAGAACTTACTAGTAGAAGTGGTCCAAGATTTTTAATTGGGATATAGACGTCTGACTCTAACTGCATCTCAACGGCTACGACATCGCACAACAATTGATCAGTCATTCTTTTAACAACATATACATTATTATCAAGAAATAAACAACTGGAATGTTATATTGGATTCCTTTGATTGTTAGTAGTCTTAATCCAAAATATCGAAGTCTTTCGAAACCAATAGTGTGAAATCGTATGATTTTTCATTATAAACATTAGCTAATTAAAGGTGGAAGATTAAAATCGTGTGACAATTTACTAGGTAGTAGAACAGATAGGAGCAAGAGAGAAAACATACTATCAATTAATTAAACTTACATTCAAACCTAATCTCTCGTTAAGCACATTATATTTAACAAAGCCTTGCACATATAAACACATTAAGAAATTTACAAATTTGACACTTCACAAAAATGATGATAACCCCATAAACTTTTGAATTCTATTACACTTTTCACCTACTCTAACAAGCACTCAATTTCAGATGAAAAAAATTCTCATTTAATTACAGTCATGAATGCAGCAGAGAAAGAGAAAGAGGATAAAAGAAATTAAGAAGTGGCATAAGAATTTCTGTGCCGATTGTACTTTCCTTATGGATCAAATTCAAATGGAGCGAATAAATTTGGCGCGATCAATCAATAGAGCAGTGTTTATCATGCTAGCTGAAATTTATGCATCGGTGTTCAAATAATATGGTTGAATAAATTGGTAAATTATATATCGTTGTTGAGTCATTTATTCCGTAAAAGGAAAAAGAAAAATGTCTAACCCACCAAAACGGCATTAATGGACATGAGGCACAACATAACATGATTTTGATGGCCTATGCTTTATATTGGCGATGCCCCTCAGACTCAGACCTGCCAGTTCATACCCATAAATGGCGTCAGTCACATTCTAGAACTAACAAAGTTGTATTAATTTCAATCATGTTTATTTTGGCCTTTCTTCTATTTTTGTTAGCCAACTTAGTAGTCTTTGCCCATCTTTTATGAGTATCGAAAAGTTTGGTAGACAGGTCCTCCAGTTCACTTTTCACCATCTCCATTTTGTAACTTACCCACATTTCCTTATCTCAATTATAGTTACCTTCTTGCCCCCACACAAAAAAGAAAAGCAAGGATAATAGTCAAATACATGTCTCCTCACTAAAAAGAAAAGTTTAAATCATAGGGGAGGTGAGTAATTGCGTCTTGTTAGTCACTGATTCAAGAATTAATAAATAATAAATTTTTATTAAAATGTATGAGTACATTATTTCACTCTTTCATAAAAAAAACATTTTTATTTCTTAAAAATATACTATAATTTACTCTACTTATGTTGATCAGTGTTTACTGGTTCCAGAAAAGATGGTTCGTATGAGTTCAATAGCTAATCAAATCATGTCATTGATTTTCAATGCATGATCTTATGTTAAAAAATTTAAAGACATCCTAGTGATCCTTGCATGATCATAGAAAGTATATTGTATACTAAAGAATGTCAAAATGCATTCACTCCTCTTTATATATGTTGACTCTTTACTATCTACTCCGGCTCAGAAGCTTGCAGTTGTGACAACTTTTAATTGAAAGTACAAATTTTCATTATCACAAAATTAATCTACATGCTTCTATTAGACGAAGTTCTGTTAAAATCTCCAGTTAATTAAGATCATAAAAGAATAATTTGTTTGAGAAAAGAGGTTCAAGTGCTGGTGAGAGCTGAGATTATGCTGCTGCTTCAGTTGGGGTGTCCAGCGTAGCATAATCAAACGCTCTAAGTTTTTGCCATTTTCTGCGGATATATGTATATATATAAATATATTCCTACTATCCTATGTGCCACTACTGGAGTCCCATAAAGCACTTCGATTATCATTTTCACGCAAACTCATAATAAATAAATGTTCATGTGATTTTCCCCAACTTTATCTTTATTCAGCCAAAAATATGGATTGAAAAGATGTTCATATCCCCTATCCCCTAGTAACCAATCATGGACCCCGTCCGCAAAATCCCATCACCAACAGTGACAAAAACCAGAGAGCAAAACAACGGAACCATCAATTAATGTACACGAATTACCAAATGCCAGAGCAATTGAAAGCCACCACATCGAAAGAAAAGGATAACTTGCCAACTGCATATCTGAAAGATATTTTATGATTGGCAATGGTAGGTGCTTCTAATCAATAGCAGTCGCCATTATTTTAGCGCACAATCAGAAGCCAATTATTTTGGTTTCTTTAATGTAACATTCCTCACAACCCGAAAATTTTATTGCTAAATACACTTCTGTCATGCTAATGAGACCTTAAATTCTCGCTGACAACAATGCAATTCATACATTTCAACTCCTAATTACAATCTTCCAACAGTGCAAACAAACACAAAGTTGAAATTGAAACTGTATTTTCCTTACATGATGCACATTGATGAATACATAGAAGCCCCATTGGCGATTTCTATGCAAATCCCCAAGGCCATGTAATTTTTTGGAAAATGAAAATAAATAAATGAAAAAAAAACCAAATATATATAAAAAGTGGGATAACCAATATGACTGATAAATGAGAATTATGGGTAGGGCTACAGCAGAGAAGGGTCATGAGTACTCATCTATTTCATAACTGAAATCAAAGTAACCAATTTCTTTTCTCTTTTTTTTTCTTTTCCTTCTTCTCCAAAGAGTCTAGAGCTTAACGATCTCAGGAATATGAACCGGGTAACGATCAATGCAATCTGCCCAAGGCCCATCAAGAGGGGTCTTAATGCTTCTGTTGCACTTCCACACAGCACTGTTGCATTTAAACCCACTTCCAAATGCTATCTGCCACACTCTATCTCCCTTCTTCATCCTCCCCTTTGACTCAATGTAGTTAAGTTCATACCATAGTGACGAAGACGAGGTGTTACCAAACCTGTGCAGTGTCATTCTGGAGGCCTCAACATGTTCTGTGGAGAGCTGAAGGTTCTTCTGCAACTCATCAATCACAGCACGCCCACCAGCATGGATGCAGAAGTGCTCAAATGCTTGTTTGAAATCAGGTATGTAAGGCTTCCATTTTGGATTGAAGATTTTCCTCCCAATGAGAGTGAGAAGGAAAAGCAACTGCTCAGAAGCTGGAAGCACAAGAGGACCCATGGTAGTAATGTTTGACTTTAGAGCCTCACCAGCAATGGCCATGAGGTCCTTCGAAAGTGAAATTCCCACCTTACCCTCTTTGTCTTCTTCTTCAAACACACAACGGTATGCTTTGTCATCAGCACCCTTGTGAGTTCTAACTACATGAACCAATCTATATTTGGCTCTTCTACGTTCAGACCTGCGGTTTGTTAAAAGAATAGCAGCACCACCCATTCTGAACAAACAGTTTGGAAGAAGCATGGCTCTCTCGTTGCCTTGGTAATAGTTTGGTGTGATGATCTCTGTGCTAACAACGACAGCATTTGAATTAGGGTGAACTTGAAGAAGATCACGAGCCAAGTCAATGGATATAAGGCCAGCACTGCAACCCATGCCAGAGAGGTTGAAGCTCTTGATGTTGCTCCTGAGCTTGTACTTGTTGATAACCATGGCAGACAAAGAAGGAGTTGGAGAGAAGAGGCTGCAATTGACTATGAGAATGTCTATGTCCTTAGGTTTGAGGCCAGTTTTCTTGAACAAAGAGTCCATAGCGGAGAAGATGACAAGCTCAGCCTCTCCTCTTGCAGCTTCCATGGTGGGTTTGGGAGGGATGTAGTGAATTGCAGGAGGCAAACATGTTTCTTCTCCAAGGCCAGATCGCTCGAGGATCCTCATTTGGAACTCCACACTCTTGGGGTTGTTCTTGAGGATGAGCCTGGAGTGTTCCATGAAGGTTGCAAAGGGGACACGGCATGTTACAGGTGGCTTGAAGCAGGCATAGTCAACGAGGTAGATTGTGCGTGGCTTTGACATGAAGTAGACGGTAGCTATGAAGATGATGAGAAAAGCTGAGCAAAGAATTTGGACGAGATCGAAGTGAAGAGAGTTCCAAAGGTTGAGGATCTCTTCTGGGCCTAAACGTAGTACCTCTATGAAGACTCCAATCATGATGGGTATGAGAGTGAGGGTGAGAATGTGGTTCACAAGGTATTGATAACCAAGTTTCACATACTTAAGCTTCACCGAGTTAGAGAAATCCGGCAAGATTGGAGGCATGTTGTTTGGTTGGGAAAAAGATGGGGTGAAAAATGAGAATGAGAATGAGAAGAAGGTTTTTTTGGTGTTTGATAAGAAGTGAGGGTAAGGGGTGGTGAGGTTTTAAAGGCAAAGGGACCTAAGCTCTGAAAGGGGTAGATGAGAGGATTTAATGAAAGACTTCACGTCACTCAACGCTCACTTAACTTGGTATTAATTTTCATAACTCCCCCCCTTCGACATCTAACTAAACCCTAACACCCCTTCCACCTGTAAAAACTTTATCTCATTTTGTCTTTGTTTACTTTACTATCTCAATATCGTTCCGTTAATTACTCTGCATCATTAGCGACATGTCCATGCTTCCAACTCTCTCTGTACGTGTGCGTGCGAAAAAGAGATCTTATTATAAAACATAAACCAAAAAGTGCACCTCATGGATCCAACAGATCATATGAATTAAGGTGAAGCAAAAAAACCATGTGTCAGAACGCCGAAAGTTTAATTAAACATCAATTTAGGTACATTTTAATAGTCTCACATGTAGATACCACGTACTTCCAATTGAGATATATAGTTTATTACACTTCCTCGACCTTTCAAAAAACACAACACATTCCTTTAGACACTTTGTCTTCTTATATTTTTATTCATTTCAATTTCTTTTAATATAAACAAATTTTGTGATAAAAGGATGCTATATTAGGTCAAAATATTATTTAATGATTTATTATATTTATAGTTATTCTTTATTAATTAATCATGATGAAATTAATTTTACATGTTTTAACATATTATATATTTATGATAATATGTTTGGTTTTATTTATATAAAATAACTGTACAGTAAAATGATATTTCATGCTAACAACAATAATTAAAAGAAATTTAATCATAATGCCTAGCCTTAAATGACTAATCGTTTAGTATAATAAAACATTGTACTGTTATAAATGACTTTTACATATTTATCTCAAACTCCCATAATTCCTTTAAAAAACTGTTACAGGCCAAAAAAAATTATCATTCTCAGATTTATTTATTTTTTTCCGATAGTAGCCCCTGCGGGAGGTTAGGATTGTCTTTGACTTATATAGGTTAAATTAATCTGTAAAAATTTATTTAAAAATAAATACGTAATTCGTAGATTTTAAAAGTTTATAAGTATCTTAATTCTTAATAAAATTCTAAAAAAAACCTTAAGAAAAAATTAATTAAAAATATATAAAAAGTTACTTATAAAATTTTTAAATATAAAATCTTATTTGAAATGTTACAAAAGCCTACACACACACACACACATATATATATATATATATATATATGATATATCTTCTGCCTGTGTTTTGGATTAACATGTTGCCAGTCCACGTCAAGGTTCAATAGATAGCATTGACAATTAAGAAGTTGTCAACAGGCAAGCATTGACTATTCATTCATGTAAATTTTATAATATTTTACTGATCGAGTTAATGTATTCAAGTCAATTACGTATCCATTTCTTAATTTTGAAGAGAAATTTACATTGTATTATATATTTATACAGTAAAAAAATAAGTTAAATATATTTTTTAATATGTACTGAATGATATACAATAAAAAATTAAATATAATATATTTTTAGTAATTTTATCGTATTTTTAAATATATATTTAAATTTTACATGTTAAAATAAATGATAGGATAGAGAAATTAAAAAAAAAAATCTTTTTTTAATTTGTGGAACATGCATCTTGACTGTGATGACTTTGACCACAAATAGTAAAAAGCGAGTGAAAGAAATTGCGTGTATCATTTATGAGACTTAGAGTCCTATGCACTCTGCAAAAGTTTGTCTTTGTTCTTGGATTGAGCGGCGTTTTCATGACGAGATTGAAATTTTTTATTTTAATTTGGAAATGAAAACAATCATTTACGCTGCAATTAATAAGTAGATATGTAGTCACTTTAAGAGTAAATATTTTAATCCCGAAAGTATATATTCTTTCTGATTGTATCTATAAGACGAATAACGTTACTTTTTTTTATATCTCTTATAATGATAAATTCTTTTAATCAATAAAAATCTTGCTGATCAATTTTTTAAGCACAAATTAACACATAATAAAAAATTTATTAAAATAAATATATTAATGATATTATTATTTAATAAATGGTAGCGACGTGTACTTACAGATACAGTCCTCAAAAAATTTATTGTATTTATTCAGTTTTTAAAAATTAAAATCACTTATCTTGTAAATTTATTATTTTAAAAATTATTTAATTTTGTAAAAAATAACTAATTATATAAAATACTATAAAAAGTGTGTCGCTATTATTTTTTTTAAGAGAAAATAACAGTTTGGTTTTATTAGGAAAAGAAAACCTTCTTTGACCCATAGTAAACGCATGCCGAATTTGTTAAACAGGTGGCAGGCCGGCAAAAATTAAATGCTCTATGCATTTAGCTGATAGTTGCCTATCATTTTCTTTATTTATTTTCACTACTGTTTTAATCTGTGTAAATTATTATTTTCGATTAATTTCAGCTTGTATCTCTTTATTGAAGTATTTATTTTCTTTACTTAAATTGATTATTTTGTGATAAAAAATGAGATTGACTAGTTTTTATTTTCAACTAACTATTTTAATAAATACTTCTTCTGATTTTTTTATAAAAAACAAAAAACTAAATTATAAATACTAAAAAAAGTAATTAATTTTGTTATGTTTTTTATAAATATAAATTTTATTCTAAAAATACTTATAATATAGTTAGTAATTTATATATTTAGTGATATTATAAAATAAAGGTATAAAAAAATAATAATTAATGTATTTTTATAATAAGAACTAAGAAAATACTTTATTTTATTTTTTATAAAAAGGATTGGAGAGAATATTATTGTAAGATGAACTTTGAATATTATTGCGATTAATTATCCTCAACAGATTTTTATTCGGAATTTAAATTTTGATCCTTTTTTGAAAATATAATGTGGTTATAAGCACCACACATAATTTTTTTATATATAGATATTATTGAATATGTCAACCCAATAACTGTCGTTTTATAATATTATATACTGAAACTTTTTTTTATAGCACCACCAATAATTTCTTTTATTGATACATGTTATTGAATACAGTACTGAAAGTTAAACAGATAATAAAATTTGTCAACCCAATAACCATCGTTTTTATAATACTGATAATTACGAGTAGGGCCATCTAACTTTGGTTTATATAGAAACGTTGCAAAATGCGCGGCAGAGACCACTAGGACCATCTATCTTACTTTGGTTTATTATTATTTTAAAGTTGGACAATCCTTGGTACATCAATACGTTCAAACGAGTTTGTCTTTTTTTTTTTCCTTTTTCTTCGCCTTCAAATTCAAGTTTCCAATTGATAAAATCAATGCTAAAAGAAATTATATCACCTTAACCTTTAAAACTGAAAATAAATAATTAACGATAATAATACTTTATTAATTTTATATAATTTTAATATAATAAATATATTTATCTTTAAATACTTAATCTTAACGGTTGAAGATAACAATTTTCATGTATTTTTTAATGTTTCTCATTTTAAAATCAATTTTAGAAATTAGTAGAATTGATGTTGGGAATTTTTTTTTTTAAAAGAGTAGGTAAAATTGATTTTAAGAGTGACTCAAACCCAATTCGAATCATATTTTACTATTTATTTGATTTAAAAATATTTAAATTTGATATAATTTAGGAGTATAATATAATTTTAATTTTATATATAGTTATTAAAAATAATAATTTTCATTCTCTTAAAATACTTAGAGCATGTTTAATTTCTGTTTTAAAAATAATTTTTTGTTTTTAAAATTAAAATATAATTAACTTGTATTATATTTTATTTTTAAAAATAGAAAACTGTTTTTAAAATAAAAATTAAACATACTCTTATACTTAATAAATTTTTTTCAAAACACTTTTAAAAGGCCATATTTAAATATAAATATTTAAAAATAATAATTATACCAAAATTTAAAACAAACATACCCTTAGAAAGTCATCATAACTCGGATATCATATACCAGACAACTTGGTGTTGAATATGTTATAATCTTTACTTAAGAAAAAACCATTTATTGGAATGGACATTGTAAACCTAGATTAATTAACAACACGGTACATCATATAGATAAATTATTTCATTAGAATAAATCAGTGATATAGTTTATCATACTATTTGAATAAATTCATAATATACTAACAATTGAATTTTGACTAAACAAAGATTTTACCGACGGAAGCGATTCTAATGTTTAATTTTTTTTTTATATTAATGTTTAATTCATTTTGGTAGATGATATTTTTTTTATGGAGGTATATGATGTTTTTATAATCTTATTAAATGTTTTATGAAAATTATTTATTTTATCAAATAAATAAACTTAAAATCAAGTAACCAAAATCAAATTTTATTTGGCGTGAGCTTGATAGTTGATATAATGACTAAAATGTTAATTGTATAATTGTATTTATAAAAAATAATTTTTATTATTGAGTTTCCTCAATAGATTTTCAAGAAACAGGAGTGTGATATATGTTTTGCTTTTCTCAAATATATAGGCAGTTGTGATAATGGCTAACGGCTTCGTTCTTTGTTTGCAGCGATCCATTGAGTTAGTTGGAGGTTGCGACTTTAACCATTTTATTTGTTTCATTAAATTTTTATATATTTAATTTAATAGTATAACTATGGTGTTTTCAATTATGTGTGACAAAGAATGCACACAAGTTTTAAAAGGGATTAATGTGGATAGCCAACTCTAAACTACTGATCTGTTGCGGGGCCCACACGTATTCGGATTGGCAGCTACAGCAGTTAGGACCCTTGCCTTCAATGTGCACTGTTTCAGGAGAATATTTATTAGTTTAACTTCAAACTATTTTCATCCCCAAATACTTTTTTTTTTCCTTTTTATTTTCTCGTGTTCGAGTCATATTCATTATTATCAATTATATTCTATAAATATAAGACTCCAGAGACGATTAGTCTTGCATTAAAAAGAAAATTCTCGTCAGATAAAATGTTTCATTGCAAATGCTTTTAGTGCATATT